TGCGCGGCCGCGCGACGCCGCCCCCGCGCAGGGCGCCGCGCCGGGGCAGCGGCCGCCCCCCGTGGCGTCAGCACCGGTAGGAGCAGCAGCGTGCGGGGATCTGCCCGGCCGCTACCTCGCGGTGCCTCCCGCGGTGTCACCCAAGGGACCTTTCCAGAAGGATGTATGCGCCCAACGACCTGATGCCCCGCTCCACCTGGAGCTAAAGTGAGCTTGGAAAATGCAGCGGCCGTGGTGGAGGTGGAAATACCCAGCAAGCCCGAAGGCCCGAACCTCCCAGGAAGCTGCCAGGTCATTGCAGCGCTGTGCTCCAGTGGCTGTTTTGCACACGGGAGCTGGGATGCAGTGAGTTTCCGGGAGGGAATTTGCCCAGGGGCCAAGCTGAGGCCATAAAGCAAGACCAGGCCTTGAAGGGATGTCCAGGGCAGGCGGTGGGAGCCCTGTGGAAGTTTCCCAAACCGTGCCCGACTCCAAGCACAGCCCGACGTCTCCGGCAGACAGATGCCTTGGTGCACTAGGAGGCTTGGTTATTACCTGCCCAGACTAACAAAGCTCTTGCTTTTTGACTTTGGAAACGTTCCCTAAGGCTGTTTTAACCACCCAAGACTAGGGCTTGTACCACCTCGCAGAGCTCAGCCATTTGTCCGCTCTTGTGTTTTGCTGCTTTGGTTTAAGTTTAGATTACCTGCACGGGTCAGCTGGAAGCGGGGCACACTGCTGAGAGCAGCAGGGTTTAGCACGAACACGGAGAAATACCAAGAGCACCCGGTAGCGTCTGCTGGCTCGCCGGGGCAGCTCGCTTGCTCCCAGGCTCAAAAGAAAATAAAGAAAATATGCTATAGCATGACACATCCAAAACATCCACGGAAAAACATCCATCTTGTCATATATATAATAGAGGTGTGCTGTGATTTTCGTATTTGCCAGGTTAATAGCAAAGGCATAGCATCTGAGATCAGGGGGGCTGGAAAGATAAGTTCAAGGTAAGATTATGCTTTTATCTTGCTCCAGCACCTACCGAAGTCAATAGAAAAGCTCTTCTCTCAGGCCTTTGGGTATTTTGCACCAAGTGGACTATAGTCAACCCTTGGCTAGGGAGGAGATGCTCTAAAGTGACTAAGGCACTCAGCTCTTCATCTTTCAGCAGGTCTTCATCACACGCTGTTTGTACGTATCCCAGGATAAAAACTGAAGGAATCAAGTTGTTCAGAGAAACAGGGGAAAGTGGCTTTTCTCTGCTGTTTCAAAGAGTGAATGTAAATACATTTCCATCAGTCAGGGATAAATCCAGACGGGTGAACTGAAAAACAGGCACATAGTGAATCAGCAAATCTTACCAGAGCCAAAAGCAGCATTAATGGCAACAAGAGGGAAACTATCCACAGCCAGTCGCACCACGAGTACAATTACAGTGGTCTATCTGGTTCAGCAGGTAAACAAAGTATTTGCTTGCCCAGACTTTTAATCTGCTACCTTTAGAAGTATTAAAATCACTAATGAAGAGAAGGCAAGGCCATGTGCAGAAGCAAATGCTAGTTACAGGAGGTGTGTTTACTGCACATGCCTGTGTGTTTTTTCAAAGCTCACAGGCCTGTTTTATCCCCTCAAATTAGGTCATGCTTACACTTTATCTGTCTATATAGAAGTCAGCTTTTCCTCCCCCAGAAAACACTGCAATCCATTGGCACATAGCAACCTCGGTGCGTGGCAAGTCTCACAAATATTAATTTCCTGCCAGTCTGCATGAATGTCAGTAGCTAGCAAAGAAATGAGTGCCTAGTGTCGGAATTTAGGTTTCTGAGATTAGCTTTGAGGGGAAATTCAATAGCACTGCATTTCAAAATATTTCTCGACCAAAATAAACTTCAGACAAGCTTCAAGAGTAAACTGCACACTGAAAAAGGAGTCGGTCAAGAAAACAGTTCCTAATTTTACACAGCATTATATAATCTTCTCCTTTAAGCCAAGGACTGGCTCTCACCACTCCTATGACTGAAATGTGATGATAACTGAGAGCAGTTTTTAATCCACCTGGTTTTGAATCATACTAAATTCATGACTTCTACAATGCAGGTGGATAAGCAAACCACCACCAAAACACACAAATGAGATATTTTTAATGGAAACCGCTTGAACGATGCAAGCAGTAAAGTCATCTTCTGTCTTGAGAAACACACTGGGCCAACTTCAAGCCACGGCTAACTCCGGTAGCAGCAAAGGACTCGCATCTAATTCACCAGGACTGAGTTCCTCTCACCATAAATGGGAGCAGCAAATGGCACTTCTGGTACAGACCTGAGTCACAATGTCAGGCAAGCCTTCTTCCTCCAAAACCAAACAGCTTTCTTTTATTTATTTCGTACTGCATCTCAGGATCCCTAGTGTAACTAATGGATAATGTATCAGCATCTGAGCAATTCCAGTAATTAAACTCAATTTTAAGGACAATTTCAAACATTCCCTCCCCAAAGCATAACTGACCTGTGCCCTTCTCAGAGAATTCTCTAGGTGATGATGCGCCTCATTTGTAAGAATAAGGACCTTCATATGTCTGCATCCGTGTGAGGACTGCCAGAGACTCCAGCTACACTGAGATTCAAAGCAGTATCGCTGACGAAAAAAAGAAAAAAATGCATGTTAAAAAAAATAGAAACATTTGTATATTTAAAATATGCCTAACCTGGATAAACTATGCTGCTAGCTATGCCATAAAATGGTAATAAGAACTTTAATGTGCACTGATAATATAATAAGCTAACCTGATTCCATCTTTCTATTCAGATTTCTGTCTGGAAGTAAAACTCATAAGGAACATCCGAGAAACACTCCAGATGCCTTCTTTGCAGCGCTGTCAGGGCAATCTGAAAGAAAGACTTGGTGTGTGTAACCAATTGTCTCAGAAATACTTGACATAACCTTTCACCGTTTTCCTACAACATGCCAATAATCACAATGTATTCAAAATAGGGCTTCATCTGCTGTAGCATTCTCGGGGGAAAGCCTCAGAACGTCTGTTTATTTCAGAGCCTAAAGCCAAAGGTAAAAATAACACAATTTTTCAGAAGATATTAATAGTTCTATAGTCGCTAAGTTCGTTAATAAACTCATTGCATTCCTCCCTAGCAATTTCTTTTTCAAGCCTGGAAACTAAACTACTGACTGTGAAGAAAAACAACATATGTTTAGTTTCCAACCAAATGTTAATTCAGGTTTAAAAAGCCCGATTCCGCAGAGAGCCTCCTGCTCTCAGCCTCTGCACAGCCCAGTAACAACCGGACTTCAAGGACAAAGCCCAGGTCTTCCAATAGCAACGTGTCACTGTATTTGTCTGTGAGGAGGTGCCACCTCAGTCACCCCCAGTCAGCTACCATGAAGCAGAAGATGGCTTCAGGAAGCAACACCATTTCCAGCGAGGAAGACATCCTGGAGAAGGTAGGCTGCCTACGACAGTCACTGCAGCACAATTAGCTGCTCAGGAGAGGAAAATGCAGCCCCTCACCATAGTATGTGTGCAGGTTAGAGGGACAGAGACACTGGCAGCAGGTCTCAATATACCACTGCTCCTTCCCTTAGTGGCAGGCTGGAATCTTCTGCAAGCATTTACAAAGCAAGAACACTGAAACAAAACCAAACTGATATTAAACTGCTTTCCTGTGCTAACTTTTTTTGCTGCCTCTTTGGACAAGCGTAAGGTTTCACCGTAAGCCAGGGCGCTTCAGTAAAGTTAAGGCATTTCAGAGGGCAAATGGAAAAAGGGAGTGAGCGTGAAGAATTTTACCAATTCAAATTGCATGAGCAGTGCCAGAAAAATTACTGCGTAAAAAATATATATAGTGATTTAGTGGCTCTACAATGTTTATAAGAGTAATTATCTTTACTAATTTAGCTTTACAGTAAGTAATTGTTGCCTTTGCAGCACCGCAGAAGTCCTGGCCACTTCCAGGCAGCTGCTCTGCAGTGAATGCAGGCGCCTGTGCCGCTGAGCAGGACGTTTCAAGCCCTTCCCCACTCCGCCCGAGATCTTCGGCCACCTCGAAATTTTCAGTTAACCTTTCGCAGCCTTTCTCTTCCCTTTGCCCCGTGCAGAGCACAAGCTATTTATAACGTTGCAGCTATTTCCAGAGCTCCAGCAGACAGCGAAGGGGTGAGTCATGGCAAGGATTTGCCTTTGAAATGCCTGGAAGGGGAAATGAAAAAGGATGAGAAAGCGACAAAAGATGAAAAATACTCTTTGCCCATCTAACACTGTTAATATTTCTTACTTCTTTTTTTTATGTCATATTTCACAACTTCCTAAATGAGCCCCCATCAACTATGGTTTTTCAATAGCTCTGCTTTTTAAATCAGTTTTCCAATTCCCTTCTTTTCCATTTCTTCCCCCTTCTATGAACAGTTGAAAAAAGGTCTCCTGTTGCCTGTCAGGCTAGACAATTTTAGCTGCTTTTTTGAGGTACAAACTAGCTCCCTGAAGATTTCTGGCACTGCTACAGTGTGCTGTTAACTGTTCGTTATCAGGAACTTGAAATTAATGTCAAAGTACTTATGAGTATATAAAATATATTTTAAGTGCAAAACCAATTTAAAGGTAAGAAGGAATTCTACTTCAGCAAACTATACGGATGTTTGTTTTTTCTCACACTGAGAGAAACTGAGACAGGTATCCCAAAAGAATTCCCTGAGAAAACCAGAACTGGATGATCAAAACGATGGGATGATCTGTCTGTACGGGACAGCTCGGTGCTCTGATGCTCCTCGGTCTGAATAAGAGGCAATGAAAGAGGCCGAGGACAGACCTACAAACTCAGGCTGACTGGGAGGAGATAGATGGGTTTATTCTTTCGTCCCCAAGGAGGGGACATGAAACGCAGCTCATGCACTTAGCGCGTCCCATTACTGCACGAGGCAGCTACCCTGAGCATTGAAGGGGCTAGCTGGGAATCAGGCCTCCTGGCACCTACACCACCCTCAGGTGATGCTCTCAGAAATATCACTCTTCTTCTTGGAAATTCCCAGACAAGCTGAGTCATTTATAATATCCTGTGTTGAAAATGAGAACATTTATGGACATGAATGCATTGTACATGACTTACAGGCTCCCTATATGTTCTGTCTGCCTCCAACACTGCCCAATAAGCATCAAACACCAGTTCCAATAGCAATAATGGCGAAGAATTTTAAACACCTTGAACTGTAACATGTCTCTTTGATCTAAGAGCACTGAATTTTACATAAACGTAGTATCACTAAATAAAGTCCAGCAATTGTTTTAGAAATCCCGTCTTACCTCATACACCTGTAGAGTCACTAGCTAAACAAATCTGCCAAACCTTTGGACTCTGGGCTGGGTGGAAGTGGCATCGTTGCAAGGGCACTGGCTGAACAAATGGATCACGCTGGTACTTGCACAGTCCAGCTACCTGCAAAACAGTTATTGCTTCCTAGACTATGAGCTAGCTGAGGCCATTCTGAGAAAAAGAGAGGTGGAAAGTGGAATACAGTTTTGGCTCCTTTTCAGGCCTGCACTTTACAAACACAATTGCTATTTTTATGAAGCAGGCCAGTATTTTACTTTCTAGACAGATGAAAAATAAGGAGTAAAAAGTGATAGCCATACAGAATGGGTCAGCAACATCTCCGATATAAAATTCACAGGTAGTTAAGGTCAAATGACATCTTCTAGCGAGAAAGATTTCCTTCACCTCGTAGAAAGAACTCACAGATCCCTCAGTGAATAATTACGTTACAAGCTTTGTGACCTCTTACTGTGAATAAGAGTCAAAAGCAAATGACTCACCACAAAAGGGCTGACTGATGGGACAAATATCCAATAAACTCACGTCTAATTGTATACTGCATGACTGTAAGGAATTCTGGGCTTTTTAATTCTGTAAGTACTCGGCTTTTTTACTCTTAAGAAGTGAATAAGGTGGGAAACTCTCAGAGGGCTGTATCTGCAAAATTCCACTGGCTGCTTCTGTGAAGAAAATAGTGTGTCATGAATGTGCCTCACAGAGCCTCACAGAGGCTCTGAGGATGCTCGTGGTGGCCCAGGAAACGCAATGGACAGTCCCAATATGTATCATGATTCTCTTGCTCAGTTACAGGAAAAAATATTCCCATGAAGGTTACAGATTGAAAATAATTTTTCTTAAAATTGATCTCGTTTTGCTCAAAAAAATGTAAGCTAAAATCATCAATAAAAATCACTCTTTGAAGTACATTAATTTTTAAAAAAGTCCCCAACTTATTCTGCATGTTGCTAACTTCTCCTGGGTGGAAGTGCCGCCTGTAATTCCGTCTTTGCAGGACCGAGAGTGAAGCCCTGCTGTTAACTTCCGCACTTAACCATTTAATACAACGTCTTCTCACCCGCTGAGCCTGTGCTCTTGGCAGCACTTTTACAAGGCAGTGTCTGCATGTTTCTTGGCAGTCAGAGGTGTGTCCCAGTATGACTAAAGCACATTGTGCAGCATGTTACTTCTGAAATAATTACAGATTCGCACATACTGCTCTGAGCAATGGGAACACCCGTCCCGGTGACTCTCCCATGCACTGCAAGCAGTTTGTTTGTGAACTGGGATGATGGTATTTCTTGAAAAAACACCCTCACTTCTGGCATGCTACCCGTCCATTCTAGGAGGATACACGTGATAATTATGTTTGGTTGCAGAGAGCTGGTAAATTGTGTCACACTGAAACCAGCATTAGCTCACAATAACTCCACAGTGAAGGCTGCTAATTCAGACGTTGAACAGAAAATATCTGCAGGAGTGAATGACGTATGCCTGCTTTTTACTGGCTTTGAGACTTCTGTTTTTTTCTGCCGACCTATTTTATACTTCATTTTTAAATTCTCCAGGCTGCTCTGCTCTTTCTACCATCAGTGGTATTATCAGGTAAGATGTCTTTCCCCTAAGCAATGTTCTGCAGATGTATTTCAGGCACAAATTTTAGTTTTACTCCAGAACTAAAAGAATAAAAGGAATTTAGGGAAAAAAAAATCATTTTTTTTAAACCAAATAAAGATCTTCTCAAGTGAATAGTTATATCCACGCAAGGTGTCAGATGAGTAACATAGAAAGGTTTGATTACATTTAATAAAGGATACTGCCAAGCAGTCAGCCAAATTGCCCTACTGGAGAAACTCTCTTGAATTCAGAGCAGSAAACTCTCAGAAGAAACACCTGAGACTCAGCTCTCTGCTCATTGAATTCCTGGACTGTCAGAAAGCTGCTATTTACCATCAGTGCTTTTGGGCTTAGATCACTGTGACTGATACAAATTAAGTCACCCAGTTCCTCTGAGTGCAGGGGCAACTATGACCCTTGAGAAGCAATGGCTTACAGGATAACTTGATACCAAAGCAGATGCAACTGTGAGGGGAATAAGAATTTTACATATAAAACAGATTTTTAAAAGCATTTTCTAAAACAGATTTTAAATTATTCTATTTCTCCCTGCTTCGTGAGTAATATAATTCCATCACAACCAATCGAAGAAGGAAAAATCCAGCCAAACAGCAGTTTATAATCTGCATTGAGAATTTTATGTGCATTCATGGATAGAAAAGGAGTTATAAGCACCACCTGTAAAGTTAACTGAAGCTAAATGCTTCATTCATGCTAAATTCAGACAGAATTATAAGTGGGCCAATAGTCGTTCACAACTGCTACCGACACAGGATTCACTGCAATGTTTCGAGGTGCCGTGAACTCATTATTTGGAATATTTTTCCTCCTCTGTGTTGATATTCCAGTACAGTAGGTGATAATTATGAAATACACAAGAATCAGTGGAAGGTTATAAGGATATATTTAAAATATTAAAGTCATTCAGGAATAAGACTCTTAAATCACCAAGGTAAGTAGTTCTAGTAAGGTTATATCTCCATTGATGTTTTTCCTCTAGTTCTTTCGAATGTAAGTCCAACAAATGATCTTTGTTTATGTGCAAAATTTAAGACTATTCAGAATTTCCTTTGTTTCTGAGCTAATCAGTGGAAGAATTATGCACACTTTTTTCATTCTACTTTGGGCCAGATATCCAGAGCTATAGCTTGGAAGTGTTATTTTGAAAAATTCATTAATTGCTTGTTACACACTGTTTTCTGTTTTCCTTTCTTCGAATCACTGCACACTACATCTTGAAACGAGATTCTGCATTAATAGTATTTTTGGAAAGCATGACCTTGGCGAGAAACGTGGCTGCAGCAAATGTTTCGGGTGAGTTTTGGATGAAGAAGAGTTCATGCAACTAAATCAGAATTAGGACAAAATTGATTGGGATTATATTCTCTTAAAGGTTTACTCTAGGTAACTTGAGTCTGAATCATATTCCCTCCTCCCCACCGTCCCAACCCTTTTTACAGTCTTCTTGTGGTATTTCTTAAGAAACAGCGGGCTCATTTGGCACTGCATATCACTTGTCTTACAAGCTCTGCTTTGCTTGAGTAGTTTTCCTGCTATTTTCATGTAATACAAACAAAGACTCCCAAGGAACATCCTGTTAACATAAACAAGCTTGAATTTAATTTCGTACAGAAGCACAAATTCAGAGTTAATCTTCTCAAGCCAACTGATACTCTGCTATTTCAGGTGTTCCAGTAGGGACTATACCTGGAAATACAGGCCCACAGGGTGGGAAAAACCCATGCCTGTCACTTGCTCTGCTCAGGGGCTCTGAATCCCAACGGATTGAGCCCATGCCCTGCAAGCAGAAGAGGAGACATGATAGGATATGGCACAACAAACACAGCTCTCCAGGCAGGCTCCCTTGCAAGCTGCACTGAATGCAGGCTGCCACTGCAGCATCACCTGCGCTCCCAGGGAAAGAAACAGCTTCTTTATTTCCAGACCTGAAAACCTCCGCCTTAAGATTTGGTTACATTCCCAGAGGCACCCTCTGCGACAAGATACCCTCGCTTTTCCTTTTCTTTCCCTGGCCTACTAGAAGTAACCGTCGTACTAGCAGCGACTTCGCTTTCCCTGTGCCCCATTCCCACAAGCACTCCCAACAGCTATTCCCACCCACGCTAGGGCTCTTTTTAACTGTGTTCACAAAGCAGAAAGGGAGAGAGAAAAAAAAAAAACGTGCGTCGGCTCCTCCTGCTTGGGTGGGCGGGTGGGGAGCTGGTCAGTGCTCTGCAGCGCTGCTGCTCGGCGCCGCGTGGGAGGACGCGAGCGGGAAGGGGAGGCAGCCGCAGCCGAGCGAGTGGGCGGCAAATCGCCCCTTGCCACTCGCATACGCGTAATGACATGCAAATGCAGAGCTGCCACAATAGACCTGGCAAAGAGGGCTCTCGCAAACGGTACCGAACGCCTCTGCTCACAAATCCACGTGCAGGGGTGACCAGCTCCCTGGGAAGGCAGCATTTGCCTTGCGCTGGTGAGGAGCAGCATGTAGGGTGCGAAGGCGGGAGGGAAGGGGCGCTGCTGGCAGCAAGGCACCCGCGCGTAGGCGGAGAGCGGCTCCRAGAGAAGAGCGACAGATTGAACGCGGCAGCAGAGGGGGAAAAAAGAGACGTGGGAGGAAGCCTGACCCGCGCAGCGCCGGGGCGCCGGCGGGGAGGCCCTCCCTGCAGAGCGGTGGCTCTGCGGCAGCGACGGCGCCCGCACGCAGCTGCCTCCCCCTCCGGCCTCCGCGGAGGCCAAGGGAACGTGGAAACTCTTTCACTCGCRCAGTTTCGCTATGTCTTGGCTTTTATCTTGTTCCAAACTTCTCCATTTCCCCCTGCTGATAAGATGTGGATTAATTGGTAAGGAGAGAAAGAGGGAAAAAAAAAGGGGTTGTGGGTTTTTTTTCTCCTCTTTCTCTCACACACCTTCTTGCTATAGGAAAAGTTCACCACTCAGTGCTCTGCTCCTATCCRGAATCTCTGGCTTCAAATGTTAAATGAATGTATTATCTACAAATGCATCTGACTAAGAGTCCTGGGGAATGCTGCCTGTTCCCATGAGATTAGCCGCCCTACAGGCAAAAGCAACAACTTGTTTCTCCATGTTGCATGTTTCTCCTTCCCTGGCTGGCCTGTTTKCAGAGGATGGATGCACAGATGGGTTTTCTGCTGATTTAATATCTATTCCTACTGCTGGTGAAGCCAGTGGGAGGTTATTCACCACAGACCCAAGCACTTAGCGCTCAGTCTCCATGCTGAAGCAACCAAATTTGAGCCTGGAGGTTCTTTTACAGTGCTGTCCATTGGGACTGGGCAGAATGAAAACAACACAAACAGAGGAAAAATAAAAATAAAAATCGATTTGAGGTCCTCTTACCAGTACAGTAATAACCAGTTATCTGGAATGGACTGAAAGCCTTCTCCTTCTGTTCTCCAAGCCTCTGCACAAAGTGGGGTTTTTTTTAATTTTTATTTTTTTTTTTATTTTATTGCTTTGTGCCTTCACACCCTGCAGGGATGTACTTCCTTACCCACACTGCCCACACCTGGAGAAATGGGACACCAGCTCTTAGCCTGGCGGAGAAAAAGGTCCGGCTGGCAGGAACACAGGGCATCCTCACCCGCTTGTGCCCTTTGTTATCTCCTCCCTGTGAGCTGCGCTAGGAGGCTGCAGAAGCAGGCGAGTGAGATGCACATTAATCATTAATGAGCGGCACATGTAAGTGGATGCAGCGCACAGCTGCTCCTGGAATTCCTCTTGGGAGCAAGAGCTGCCACATCCTGCTATGGAAGGTGTTTTTGTTGCTTTCCCTTTCTTTCCCCTGGAATAACAATAACAAAAACACAACCCCCCAAACATCTGTTCAACTCTGAGCCCTCCCACAGCCTGCAGTTTATTTTCCMTTCGCAAACCCGCTGCACAGACCGTGGGGACGTTTCTCGGCGGGGCGGCCTGGCAGCCCGCCCGGTTCCCCGGGGCGCCTCCCGTGCCGCCATCCCCGCTCCCGCGGCCACGCGCGCTCGGGCTGAGGGCCGSGGCGCCACTCGGGGCTCGCTGCTCCGGTGCCGTTGCGGGCGGACGTTTCACGCGTGCTGCGGGCTCTGCCCGCGCACAGACGCGTAGGGACAGGGGGCACCAGGCGCAGAAACGCTCCCCTCCGACCCGGCCGACCCCAGCGCCGTGAAGACGCTTCCACTTCCCAAGCGGAGAGCACGGTTGCCCCCTGGGGACTTCTCTGGGAGTTGGCATTTTCCTTTGCCTCAGATATAAAGTTTAAGGTGTATTTTGATATATATATATACACGAATATAGCGTATAGCCTAAACCCGTCGCGGGGCAGCACGATACAGTCCCTAAATCACAAACAAACCTATGACAAACAAACACATGGCGACCAGCCCAAACGGGCGAAACGCCGCGCTCCGTAACGCGCCCGCGGCGACCGTTACAGACCGCGGCAGCGGCGGCCCCGGCACGGCCGCCGGGCCGGCAGGGGGCGCACGCGCCGCCATGGCGGGAGAGGCGGTGCCGGGGAGAGGCGCCGGGGCCGCCATGGCGGCGCGCGCGGGCAGGTAACGCGGGCGCGTAACGCGGGCGCAGCGGGGAGGCGCCGCCTGTCCCCCCGTGCGCGTCCTCGCGCCGGGCGGCTACCAGAGCGCTACCAAACCGCAAGCGGAGAGCGCGCCACAGCCGCGCTGGCAGAGCCCCTGGCCAAACGGGGCTTAACGCCGTGCGTGGCACTGCGTGCGGCGGTAACGGAGCGTTCCGTGCCTTGACACGTCCCGTTTCTCGTTTCAGGCTGCAGCCCCTCAGCAGAGTGCAGGTGATACTGCAGCACGTGGTGAGGAGGGTATGTCCTTGCGTTGGAGCTGGGTAGCTGCCTGCCTCGGAGGTGGAAGCCGCTGGGCTTCCCACAGCACATGCAAAACAAAGGAGTTTTAAAAAAATAAATAAAATCGTGAGGTGGAATGGGAAAGTCTCAGCGTAAAGTTCARAAACACACATTTTATAAAGTTAAATTGTTCTGGGAACATATAAACATGCTTGTAAGCATTGTGCTTAAGATACCTAATGTTATTTTCTTAATTTCTGCATATACAGAAAATGTGTAAGCATACGGACTCTACGGCTGAAGTGGTGTTGGAAAAGAGAGGAGGAGCGGGAATAATAACTTTGAATAGACCCAAGGCTCTCAATGCATTAAATCTTTCAATGATCCGACAAATTTATCCACAAATAAAGGTCAGTAGTTTCCCAGCCAACACACATACTACTAGCAACATTAAAGTTCAGCAGCATCCATCCAGGCAGCATGTACCTATTCCAAACTGTACAGCAGGGTTACCGCGTGTTGGGTGCCCAAGGCTAAGGCACAAGTCATTAGGGTGCAAGTGCTGTTAGCTTCATTCCTTAAGGAGCAACTTTTATATAATCACTGGTGTTGTTTCTATGGGTAACTAAAGTATGAGCAGTTTTATGTGTGCAAATAGTACCTTCAAATTGATTGTTGTTCTTTATCATATGCCTGCAGTCAGATTTATTAGCATTTGTTGGATAGCTGCCTGCATTTTGGTTGAAAGATTATGCATTCTTAGAAGCACATTTAAAGAAATAATTTGCAGTGCTGGGCTTTATTTAAGAAAAAKCCGTAAAGGTGGCATAATGTATGAATTACTGGTACATACAAATATTTCTCCTGTTGTTTTGATGCCCTAACTTATTTGACAAAAATACGAGCATAGTTCAAGGGGAAAARAGATCCTGTATAAGGCAACTTATTTTTTAATCTTGATTGTAGCATCACTGTTGAAATCTTGGATCAGATTTAGATCAGAGGAAAAAAAAAAAACACCTAGCCATTTTACTTGGCCCCCCAAAAAATGTGCAGAGAGCAGGTACCGATTCTAGTCACTTTGACAAGTCCCATCAGTAACGTGAATGTTGTTTTTCCTGCCCYGCATCTTAGAATCACACAGTTTTCATTACCTGGCCTGAAACATAGCTAATAGATCTTCCACACCCCCAGCTTTCTGCCGCATCATCAAGCTCCCMTTTTGACTGTAGAGCCCTCTTTTAAGGAGGGCTGCAGAGGTGTTCTGAAGCACAGAGAAGCTCTGCTGATCCTCCATGTGGAGATTGAATTGCAGCAATGAAATTCAAGTGTCAGTCAGAAATTCCCAAACTAGTTTGTAACTGAGGTTGAAGCGTGGGGCAAACTGCCTCTTTGAAGAGGTGAAACAATTATAGGCAGTATATGGAAAAAAAAATGTTGCACAGATTTGAATCATAGGTGGATATGTTTTGCTTCCTTTTAGGCATGGGAGCAAGATCCTGAAACTTTTCTAATAATTATTAAGGGAACTGGAGGAAAAGCTTTTTGTGCTGGGGGTGACATCAGAGGTAAGGACTGTTGTCCTCAAAGTACTGGACATAGCTTTCCAAGTTACCAATTTCAAATTGATTATTTCCTTTATTTAGTGACTCAGGTGAAAGGGGTGTGCCACACAACAGTAAGATATTGGTTACACTGACTTGTCACACCTTAATGCACAGATTCTATACAAGTCATGAAGCAGCAGGTAGAATATGGTATAAAAGAGCAAAGCCTGATTTGTTTATGAATAGCTGGGTAGTGGGAAGCCATCATCCCAGGGAAAGAACGGGATATTGCCTCTGTCTTACTCTCCCAGATTTCCATTACTGACAGCTTATTTGCATGCTGTTTGAAGGATTTCAATGGGTCTCTACTCCTACTGAATAATTTATATCTGATGTTTCTATTCAGATCTGAGCTGTTCAGATACAGAAGAGACTACAGTGATCCATGTATTTGTGATTAATCTGTAGCTATGAGCTGTAGTAAATCTCCAAACTCTGAAAGGGAGCAGTTTTAAATCCTAGGCAGACAAATAGCAGAAATATGTGACAGTCCCCAGCATGATGACGACTCAAATTTGGAATTTTGCTGTCGTGTTTGATAAAATAATTTGCTCACATAAAAACATTAGAATTAAGTGTTTGACTGCTATAGGGAAAAAAACTGTTACCATGCTATATTGATTTTCATACTTTTAAAATATTTTTTCTTGAGCTTACAGTTATCTTTAGAATTTTAGTTTAGCTATCTTAAACATATCTTATACACTCTTAGCCATGGCAGATGCAGGAAAACTTGGAGATAGCCTGGCACGAGATTTCTTCAGAGAAGAATATACCTTGAACAATGCCATTGGTAYGTGTAACAAATTCTACTAAATTCTRAAATAATAAAGTTCTTGTTTTTGAATAATAGTGGCTTTGTGTGTGAATCCACTTTCTCACTAATTATGAAAGACTAAAATACTGAAACAGGAGTAGTATTTTGACTAAGTTCRGCCCTAGAATTGTAGCCTCATTCCTGTACCTTGCATGCAGTGTTTGTTTCTTGTGCTTAAGATATGATAGGTACTTCATCCCAGCCCAGGGTTCTTGGTAGTTGTATTTATATTATGGCTGAAGTAAGTCTTAGATGCAGACAATAAATATTCTCAATCCACTTCAAGAGAAAAAGCAAGTCCACTGTATACATGGCACATATACTACTGTATACATGACACTGTTACTCACAGTCCACTGAAAAATGTGCCATCATTTGCATTTCTTCTAGGCACTTGCAAGAAGCTGTATGTGGCACTTATTGATGGCATTACGATGGGAGGGGTAAGTAAAATAGCCTGGTGTGGTATGTGATGTCAGTTGTCTTATTACTCTGTATTTGAGCTAAATGAAATATGCACCTCATTTCAGACATTAAATTTGACCATAAACATCTAAACCTCAACTTTCTGTCTCTGTAGCTTAGAGTAGATAGCTGCTCTTTTACTGTTTCTGCTGGTTTTTGATAGCTCTCACAGCTATTGCCAGATCCTCAGAGGAAGCAGTCTGGAATAAAACAGCAGGATCCTGTCACTTGAGCAACACTATACAGAGAATTTTTGGAAGACTTAAGCATCGGCTTGTAGATGATAAAGAACTGACAATGATTTTGCATTTCAAGTGTATAAAAAATAGAACTATAATAGTACAAGAGTGAAAACTGGAAAAATCTCATTGGAGTAGTAGTTTATCAGAAGTTCAATTTTTAAAAGATGTTCAAAACATGAATTCTATGTTTTCTTTCCATCATATGATCTAGAAATGCATCTATCTCACACCTATAGTACTCTTGGAGCACAAGTAAGAAAACCCTTCCCCTCCCTGCCCCAGGCCACAATTTGTTTCTAAAGATATAACTAAAGGAAACCCTATTGCAAACCCAATTACATTGGTAAATGTCAGTACTGTGCTTTTCTGCATGCTGCCATGTTATTTGTTCTCTTTGGTTTGACATCTGTTGGATATATTTATATCATAGCAGGGAATCTATACGATACAGCCATACTGAGATAGTCTGAGCAATGAGTTTGACTGCAAAATCTGTTTGCCTGCCATATTGTTGCTGAATTCTATAGGTGATCACAAGTATTCCTGCACTGCTCATTAGGACTGCTCCAAAGCTGCTCTTAAACAGCTACTCTCCTCTCACCACTGAAAGCAAGAATATAAAATAACTGTTTAATCCAGAGCAAAAACAGTTATGGTGAAAAACTGCTTAAATACTTGTTCTGTCAGCTTACTGAGGAAGGGGAGTTTGGTTTRAACATACCTGCTTGTGATGTGAAGTTGAGATTATTTATCATCAGACTTAACACAGCCTGAATATGAATGAATTGCTYATCTCTGAACTAGGAAATTCGAAACATAACAAAGAAGTTAAAGTGTCACACAGATAACTCGGAAATGTAGAGGACTTTCCGCTCTAGAACCTGGTGATGAGAAGTACAGCTTATTGCTGGGAGAGATGTCAGGGTGGCTGAGCAGATAAGTCACTCCCTTATCCCTCCCCCCCAAAAACAACCAACCAAACACCCTTTCCTAACCAATTCCTGTTTCATTTTTAAGGGGTAATGCTGCCAAATGAAATGAGGCAAAGTTTAGCACAAGGAGAGGCATGAGCATGGAAGAACTCTGAACTCTTACGTGAAGTACTTCTGCGTAATACAAATGAAATACAAAATACAATAGTATTGCATCAGTCTATAAAAGTATTTCCATAGAGGTGTTTTGCTTTTTTTCTTGTGCTTTCTGAAAAGAAAAAATATGCAACAGGTAATGTCCCAAAGCCTCTGTGTTTTAGCAGTCATTAAGTGCTGTCTTTTAGAGGGAGAGCGTGCCTTATTCAGACTGGTGTGGCTTATTCTTAGTCTGATAGGCAGGGTCTCATTTCTGCTGTGTTGTGCTTAAATCATTGCACTGTTGTCAAGGCCCCAGGCTGAGGCTACTGTTGTCTTTCCTGTCAGTGCAATGTGAGCACATGGTCTATTCATTTGAGGTTCCTCAAGGGCAAAAATGAGAGCAGCTCAATACTACACTGCCTTTCACTTTTGACTGTTCCCTTTCCATCTTCCTGTGTGTATCACTTGGTCCATTCTGGCTATAAGATTTTCATCTTTTGATCAAAACATTGAGTAACAGCTCTCTGCCCCTTTCCTTCTCCCCAGCCAAGCCCCAGAGATCTCAGCTGGATAGCCTCTTCCCCCTGCACCAAACCAGTGTGCACAGTTACTGTTCCCAGCACAAAGGGGACTAGTCTTACACTTCTTTTTGCAGTAAAGAGGTATTTATCAGAGATACAAGTCTTGGATATTTGTGGATAAGAGATAAGGAGTCCATTTGTTGCACAGAGTTTTGAATAATGGCACTGAAAGAGCAGAACTGCCTGAAAGCTCATGTATTTTTAAAAGCTCTATTGATGGTGCATTATGATTGTGGCCTAGGAAGGAATAGAAGTTTGTCCTTTGAAAGCATCTTTTTTTTTTGATTAAAAGAGCATAGCAAGTCAGATGTTCACACAGTGCTAAGGTTGTGAATTGCCTTTATTTTAAAGGGAACATGAAGTTTTTAAAAGAAAGCAGTATGGAGCATTAGTATAAGGCACTCAAATCTGCATTTCACTGAATCCTTTGCAAACTTGAGCTGCAGCTAGGGTTTGAATGACAACCTACAAACTGAGGATAAGCAAGATGCCRCTAGTGGTAGTTCTCATTCAGAGAGGTGAGTAAATTTTGACTGAGCAAGTATTAAGTTAAAGGAAGCAACACCTAAGTCTCAAGTTGCAGACAGCCTAATTTTTTTAAATAGCTGATCAAGTGCTCTTTAATTCAGACTTGTAACACCTAAATTCACTCTAAGATGATGCCATGCATACAGTAGTGCATGCTTTCAACCAGTATACATATTTTCTTTTGCAATGCATGAAAGCATAAACTTTGAACTTGCTAGTCATATTGTTACCTTCTTCTGCTTGCAAGGAGTATATACTCTATCCCATTGCAATCATTCAGTTGATTTGCACTCGTATGGAATCATTTTATTCCTAATAGCATTTAGTACTTTTGTTTAGCTTAGTCTGAGATGCTAGGAAGATACAAAATAGATAAAATATGATGCAATTGTATATCAAGAACACACCTATTCCCCAGAAGAGAAAGCATGAACACTGCTTAAAAATGGATGTACTCTTCTCCAGCTCAACATGTATAGAGTACACTGTTATTCCAATTGGAAGTCAGTTAAAAGTCAAACAGCGTAACAGAGACTCAGTTATGTGTAGATGTTACTACCAGTGCACAAGCATCTTTGGTTTTGATGACAAAACCTGGATTTTAACCAAGTGAACTAATCTTGTTTCTGCATTTTTGCCTAGAGATTGTTARATGGCTTTCTTGAAAAGTTAATTAGCCAATAGATGTGTTTGTGGAGCTTGTTCTCCACAGATTCTGTTCTGATAGTTMAAGTATTGATAAGTTGTGTAGATGTGTTGTTCTCCCCATCTTTTTACTCAGCTCCATGGCAATAGCATCAAGCAACAAAACTGTCTGCTGAAGCACAGATGATGGCATGTCGTATTGCTCTTACATTACACTTTTCACTTTAACTATTAATGCTTTGAGTTTTAGGATGAGAAGATGTCTTCTAGGAGGACAAATAGATTTWAACTTAATACTGTAATTGATGTGTTAGATTTTCAGTATAGAAAATACTAGGTACACTTACCAGCTCTCAAGTTCTCTAGACAGACCTGTTCTTAGCATTACTCTTCTAATCCTCACATTTAGAAAAAAATATTAGGATKCTTCTGAGTTGTTTGTAATTCATAATTTAAAAAGATAATATTAACCTTATTGCTAATTGGTCTTCAGGTTCATCAGGGGTTTTCTATTAGTTTTAGGCATTTAAATTTAATACAGTAATACAATTGCTTAGGGAAAAGCTTTTACTTAAACTGTGAGTCTGTCTCCAAGTTACATTATCCCTAAGGTGACTATTAGAAGAGAACCATTTAAAGTACTAGTTGTGATAGTGCCATCCAAGTGACTTACGAAGACTCTTGTGTTCAGCTGCAAGCTGTGCAGAAACTTAGAACTGAAAGGAATATCCAGATTATTCCTCTACCTTTAAAGTGGGATTAAATATAGCTAGATGAGCTCTGGCAGCTTTTCACCTAATCTGTTCTCAGAACTCTCCCACATCAGGTGTTGCACTGTCTCTGAGTGTCCTGCTCCAGTGCCTAATTCTTCTTAGAAGTTAAAATTCCCCAATGGTTAAGCCATTAGCAGGTGTGTTCAATGTACTCCTGTCTTAGAGCACAATAAGAATATTTTGAAGTACTTTAATTCTTTTCTCATAGCTATCTCTTTTTAAAAGAGACAAGGCTAGTTATTCAGCCTTTAACAGAGGTTATATTTAAGTCTCTTGGCCACCTTCTGAACTTCCTCCTTGTGTACTTTACCAGACATTCTTTCAGCTGGGGGCCCATCAGCACCAAGCAGAGCAGAATGAGCACCCTATGCCTCCAACACCATACATTACAGCTCATAGGAACAGCAGCCTCTCAAAATATCTTCTKCTGTGAAGCCATCTCTCTTGGGTAGTCCTAAACCTATTACTTTTTCCTCTTTCTCCTTGCATAACAAAAACTTGCAATCACAATACATTTCACCACTTACCTTGTTCCACTTCTCAGCCCTTTTTCCTTAAGCATAACCAGGATACCAAAGACTCCTGATGCTGAGCAACTCTTTTTAACAGATATCACAAAGAGAAAATAACACCTGCTTCCTCCAGAAGCCCTAGTCATAGCTTTGGTGTTGCCTTTTATAGGTGCAGCCCATCGGGCTGATGAGGTTCCACAGCTGAAGCATCTTGGCTGAGTGGCTGCATTTCAGTCCTTWGATGCCCCTTGCTAGAGACTCTGCTCTATCACATCTTAAGTGGCTCTTTTGCAACAGCATCACATGATTACATTAACTTAAAATCAGGGTTGCTATAACTCCTGAGAGTGTCTAGCCATTTGTCCCATTGAAAATGCACTTGTCATGTGTGTTTGATTTGGTTTTCTTAGTTTCTATTTCTTTTTACATCCTTTCTCCAAAGTGGGATAGTTTGAAAATCTCATCTYGTCCTTCAAAGCATTTGCCTTCCAAAAATGTAATATGTAAAGTATGTAAGTCCTTGTCATGCCGTCATCCAGGTAGCTAATGAAGTTATCAAATGAAAGTCTATGTCAATAAAAGGTAATGATTGGCTTCTCTGTGATCTCAACAGAGGTACTCAKTTAGTTAGATAGGGAGCTGCTGCTGACTCCTCTTTGAATACATTTTCAGGTGATTGTGCCCTCCATTTCTTAGTGATGCCATCTAGGCTCTGTTCCTTTAGTTTAGATCCTGCGCTATATAGGGAAGCATCAAAAATTTCACAGTCCAGAGTTTGGAACATTTTCAGTGTTACTTTTATTGCGTGACAAGATTTTAATCTAAGTCCCGGGRTTATTTAGAGGCTCCAGAGAGTGAGAGGCAGGCAGACTTGTGAACAGGCTCTTAAAATTTCTCCGTGAATTGGGAAAAACTCCTGCTGTACATTTGCCCACCCCGCTTTCTGAAATAAAGATCAAGAATTACTCCTTTTTTTTCTGTGTGTGCCATAGCTGAAAGAGTGAAGTGAGCAAAAGTGAAGTGAAAAGAGCTAATATTTAGCTCTGTTTTTCCTCTGTTGGTGTCATTTGATCAGCGAAAGATTAAAGTAGCTTATATAGACTTTCATTGGAAATAGGCAGATGTTATCTAGATGAATGGATTTTTTAGGTGTAAATTTGCTTCACTTAAGTTTGTGTCTTTGCTCCATAGTTATTCTCTGGCATCAGTTAAAGTCCATTTGTCTTTTGCGAGGACTTCGGAAGAGTTTGCTTTGGGAAGAGTCATATCTACTTCTGTTGCAGCTATTACGGAAATGTTTATTTGCAATTTAGGCATCTTCTCATATTCCTCTGACACATAAAGACAGCAGGAGAAACAATTAACCAAGCTCCCCTGCTTTTCTCCATGTCTTGATGTCTTTTTCCYTTTTTTTTTTTTWMMWTTTRCTTTTAGAATTTATCAATTTATCATATACATACAGCTTTTATACAGAGGCAGAGAATTTGAGATAAATTCAAAGCTACAAAATTTACTTAAAAGGGAACCATATCTGTAAAAATCCCTTTTTTTTCCTCACTTATAATGGATTTTTTAAATTACAATAGTGTGCTTTCATGAAGTCCATAGGTGGATATTACTTACGAATCAAACAGCTATTCATTTATTGTGCAGTGCACAAACTATAGCTGCACCCTATTAGAAATTTGCCTGTTAATTATTATTATTATTAATAATAATACACATGGCAGGGTTTTAATGAACTTCTTTGAGTGCCTTAAATCTCTAGCACCTAAATATTCGTGAAAAATAATTCCTTGCAAACCACTTCGATCCGAAAATGGCCATTATTCTTTCAATCCTTTTTACGGCTAGGAAACTGGAATTGGTAGATGGTCGTGTGAAATACACTTCCTGCTTCTTGGCCCGATTCACCCTTTTCTTCTTTTTTTATTAAATAACCCATTCATTCTTTGCMGTCCTCACTCGCTGAAGCTCAAACATCCTTGATTTTGTTTTAATTTAAGCTTTAAACTCTGTCCTGGCGCAAAAGGAATTGTCAAACTAAATCTAGATAAGCTGCTTTCTGATTCTCTCTTGCTCCCTTGCCCTCCTCCTCTCCCTGTCCCCTCTCAAAGCTCATGTGTGCRTGCTGCACAGAAGCTACGCCTCAGAGCTAAAGGTAGTTTTTACTGTAAAAATAGACTTCACATTTTGTGACTAGTTATCTGTTGTCAATCTTTGCTAGACTGACTCGTGCCCCATTTTGCTTTTGTGATACAGAGAGCTGAAAATGATGTTGAAGCAAGACAGAAAAAAAGGGTTTGCTCTTTGCTGATCTTGCAGCGTGTTGCCATCTGGCATGCTGGGCTGCCTGCTAAGCCCCTGCATATGATCCTCTGCACAAATAGAGCACTTCATTTTCTAGTTAATCGGACTATAATATAAAGAGCTCTTAACGTCTATTAAAAAAAATAAAAGTACTGAACGTTCCAGGATTTGTGTGTGATGTTTTCCCCAAAGGGCTCCTTGTAAGCACTGTCTTGAAAACAAGTATGTTAAAGTAGAGGTGTGACAACTGAACTGGTAAAGTAAGTAAAACTCCTCTCCCTCTATAACATTTCTCCCTTCAAAAACTGCAGTAACTGTTGGTTTTGATGTACACTATAAAAAGGCATGGAGAGCACTATTTTCCACCGAGAAAAGAAAGATTCCTGCACATAAATCCCACAGATGTTGGTATTATATAATGGGACTTCAATATACTAGAATCAGAGATTACATGTACTTTGCATTCCTGCACAAAGCAATGAGAAAGAGAGAGAGAGAGACCCTCCTCTAATAGAGCAAATATCAATTGTTTACTCAGAATGAAGTTGAGCGTTTAAGCTGTGCTTTCTAGGTTATTATTTTTTGTGGAGCTTGTAKGTATTGAAGAGCTTTTACTTGTGACTGCCTGGAAAGCCTCTCCYGCTGCAAGGTTGAGGGTGGGCTTTGTTGCAGCTTCGTCCTTTCTAACACCAAATTGTTGCTGAGTCCCACTGTTTCTCYCCAGTTCTGTGCCTCTCTGTAGATGTCTCTGTTGAGAGTTTTCTCATCTCATTATTTCCCTTTTTACTGGAGATCAAGGAAAATAGTTCTGAAGAGAATTCATCTTTGCCTCCATCTTTTCATACTGCTGTTAATTTGTCTAATTTCCAGGAGAATGTGAATGCTTTTTTCTTCTCCTTGCGTTGTAATATTTTCTGCCATCTTTCTTGCCATGCATTCTTTTCCCTAAGAAATAAGATATCATCACAGAATCCCCTCAGTCCATCCTTGTCATTCCAAATAACTATGTCCCTGTTTACATACTGTTCCCTAGCATGTGTCCATGTTTAAGAACAAGATTTTTCTCTTAAAAATTTTCAATTTTTTTTCAATTTTTAGAGAAAAAATATAAAAACCTAGGTATGCATTGATGCACCTTGCTGAAACCTCTGCCACTCGCCTGTCCTCCTGCAGATATTAAGATGTGGTGAGATGGACGTATATATTTTGCCCATGGTAGCTAGGTTTTTAGGTGATACAGAGGGATAAAGAGTCAGAGCTGGTCTCCCAGAATTTAAGTTTCTTATCCATGAACATTTCCTTCCTGTCCATAAACATTATTTTGAAAGGCAGCAAATGCATAATTGCAGAGACCAATCCATATAGTTTTGAGAATTTGATTATACACATTAAATTGTTGATCTGATTATGTCTAAAATAGTACTGGAATGGAAAAAAATTCGAAACATCCCTTTACCATCTTTTTCTTAATGTACACAACCAGTTTTGTAAGGGTGCTGGGAAAACAAGAATGCTTTCAAAGTTTAGTACTTAAAAATGTCATTAGCTTGTAAAATAATAATTTTTTTTTTTTTTGCTTTTGGCTTTTCAGATCTAAATTTGCCATTTTTTTTTCTTAATGTTGCACTATACATCTGTGTCCAGGAAAGATTTTGCTTCCTCTGGAAGCTTAGTAGAATTTGCTAAAGATAAACCTTAGGAAGTAATGTTCAATGTTAGAAAAKCAGCAGAGAAAATATTCCCGTTCTGAAAGAAAGTTATTCCAGAAAACTCTTGAGTATTGAGAATTATGTAGAAAGAAGATAGAAGCATTCTCTCATGTAGAAAAGGAAGTAAACTGAAGCAGCAGAAAGGAAGAAAAATATTTATATGAAGCAGCTTCTGGTGAAATATTCACTAGAGGCTGTTTKTAACCAGGTAGGATGTAGGATTTGCAGTTATGCCCAGTAATCCAAATTATCTTGATCAAAGGGATCTAAGTAACAGTAATTTTGTCAGATAACCATTTCTCTTTAGTTGGCCTATTGAACATTCAGTTTGTGTGAAAATAAAAATGTATCTTTTTCATAATCCTTGCTACTGCTAGTGCTTTAAAATAGCAGAAAATGAGATACACAAAAATAGGARAAGTTCTGATACTGAAGAAATATAGACTCTGTAGGTACCAGTTTTTCTTGTTGGTGATACAACAAGATTGGTTGGGTGTACAAAAGTCATGGAAAAAATTAGCAAAATGATGTCACCTCCCTTAGCAATTTAAAGGAGAAACTGGGGTCACTTGTTTCTGTTCTTGCCTTTGCTAACGGGCTCTTTGAAGTTAATCTCTGTATGACTCTGCAAACTGCTTCAGCGCTGAATTTTATTTTAACTAACTCCTAAAGGCAATATGATGTGTTATTAGTATTTAAGCCATAAACCATAGAATTTTGATCTTTTAATATATTTTGAGAAGTGTGTATGGTAAGTCTGTTATTATTTAATTTCATAGTGGAACAGATGGTGTGGTTTTTGTGATTCTGCTTATTTTTACTAACAATTTTGACAGTTTCTTTGGCTTCTGCTCCTCTAATAGGGAGTTGGCCTCTCAGTTCATGGACATTTCCGTGTTGCTACAGAAAAGACAGTCTTTGCAATGCCAGAAACAGCAATAGGCAAGTATGCAACGTATTATGCTGTATTAATATGTTTCAAGTTTCATTGTTCATTTAATTGGGATCACATGGGTTTGCCTGAAAGAAGTGGAGGCAATGAAGTATTTTTAAATGGAATTGGGTTTAGCCATCTATTAAAGTTATTTTTCACATTAGATTTTCAAATCATTTCAATACAAGATATTAACTGTACTGCAAGCTAATATGCAACATAAAGGAGACAAACTCTGATACATTACAGCTTTACAGACTGTATGCAGGCAAGATCAGAGTTTTCTCTTTATTTATTCATTTATTCCTTTATTCATTCATTCATTTATTTTAAGCGGCCACATTTACCTTGCACTTTCTAGTGTTTGATCCTAAAACTCCTTTGTCAACTCTTAAAGATGTGATAGGAAAGTTTATGTCTCTGAATTGTATAAAGATAGTGCTATTTCTCAAGAAAAGAAAATTAGAGCAGTTTCCTGCTAGCTGCTCGTGTGGTGTGAATTTGCTGAACAAGTAAGGTTCGGAGAGAAAAAAAATCTATTGTGGTCTTCCATGATCTGTTTTCGATGTGTATGTCTGCTAAAGGGGAACTTAGTAATAGTTCAAGCATTAATAATACATGAATTTGGTAAACTCATGAGAATCACAATCAACTGTTTTGCAAGAAAGGTGAGCCTGAAGTCTTTTTAAATGTAAATGGAAATTTTCACATGTAACATTATTCTAACAGCAAAGATACCTTTGTTTGCTTGTTGAAGCATAAGGATATGGATAGTCTTATTTTACCAAAGATGATGCATTTTACATGCATTGCTTGTGTTTACAGGGACTTGTCTAAACAAAATTAAACTATGAAGATCTCTGGAGGAAAAGTTTAGAACTTGCTTATGGAAAAAAAGTAATCAAACCCTTTTAGGTTTAGATTAGAAGCCCAAACATTGAAATCCATCTGGATTTAAGAGCTTAGCTGTGTTTGTATCTCCATGATGCATTTTTAGAACATCTAGCTGCCCAGATATTGTAATAATAGATCTTTTTCATACGTGCATTTATTTCTGTTGGCATCACAGCTCTCCTGTGAAAACAATAAATTCCGTTAGCTCCTATGTTTTCATGCAGTTAATTATGTACTTATACTCCACCATAAATAAAATAATGTGCGTGTGCCTCTGTGCATATRAAAATAGAAGACAGAGTTCCTGCTTGTAGAAGTTTAAAACTGAYGTAGATGAAATAAAACATAGGAAGCAGCTCACATGTAGGTGTGAAAAGCGCGGAGTTTGGGAGACCAAAATCCAGAATTACAGTGCAAGAAATGGACTGTATGGTGCAGTTATAATCATCAGTTTTTTGTGTAATCAAAAAAGTTGTGACTTTCAGGTTTCTGTAAATCATTTACTAACAYGTCTCCAGCTACAACTGCAAGATAAGGTAGAAATGTTGCAGTAATACTGTTATCTTACCCTTACCTGGTAATGTCAAAAACAGTTTTAGATTTGAGATTACACTGAAACCGATGCCTTCTGTCCTAGAATTGAGACAGCAAGTCATGGTTCTAGACACAACTTTTAAGCTTGGTCAGCCTAGCAGACATGCAGCTCTTAAATAAGTGCGGGATTTAAGAAGTACTTGGTAAACGCTGCCAAAAGGAAAAAAAATCAAGCATGTGAAATCTGATAAGAGAAAGATGAAAAGAAAAACAACAATCAGGTAGCAAGTAGAAACATGTGGGAAAAAATATTGAGAGAATGAAGAGGAATTTATGGAACAGAGACAGGAAGACTGTGGATAAGGAAGAGTGGAAGCTTTAGTGAACTTGTTTATGCAGCACAGTGAGTTTAAAGTGAATTAACTGCATCTTATATAAACTTATAAACTGCATTTATCTTATTTGTAAAATTCTTACAGTTTAAAGACACTTAATTTAGTTTCATTCATCTCTAAATCAGATTAACCAGCTTTATGTACAGATTGTTTTCTTGAGTCTTGCCCTGTGGTAGGGCTCTGTAAAAACCAACATGAAGATTGCTGTTTAGAATCTGAGGGCCCTTCTAGGAGGATAGGAAGGGAAGCACCTCAGCTTCAGTATTTTAATTACTGCAAAGAATAAAAGATGGTTAAAACTGCAGTCTGGCTGTAAAGGGAAAGTAATGCAATCATTTTTGCTTTGGAGAGCATTTGTAAGAGAAGTYTCCTTTTGAAATGAGAGGATCTGTTGCAGAAGTAGGAAATCCAGGAGGAGGCATGAATAGAAATATAAAACCAAATGACAGTCTTAGCATCAACATTATATATATGATGGCTTAAACTGAGAAGGTAAGATATGGAATAAACTGTTCAGCAAGTGACTACAAGTGTCAGGTAAGTGATGAGCTGTGATGGGCCTAGGTAATTAGGAGTGCATCAGTTAGTGGCAGCACACACACATCAGTTGGAACGAGAATAGAACAGTACAATGATAAGTGGTAGGAAGGGGCTCCTAAAAACAATTTTATGGTGTATGAGAGGCAGCAGAACTTGGAAAGGATCAAAAGGAAGCCAGAGGAGAAGCTGASAGGAGACTGAGGACATACAGCCGTGATGAACTTGTATGGGTTATTGAGAGGAAGGAGACATTGAAGAGAAGCTATTTTAAGGAATTTTTTCTTGATTGTGTCCAAAGGAGAGGAATATTCAGAAGACACTAATTATACCTTAAAACCTTTTTATGTATATAGTGTGTACAGTGACACTTGTGATCTAAGGCAGGTAAAAATTGCTGATCCATTAATGAACTCTCAGACTAAATATTTGTTCAAGCTTCGCTCTGCAAGAACTAGGGATGATTTCATCATTTGAGGTTATCATCGTAATAAGAGATTTTAGAGAAAAGAGCAGCTGCCGGTTTGAATTTGCAAAAGTTATTTCACAATTCTTTGTGTCAGTTCTGCTGTTTGCTGGGAGCATGCATGTATTCTTCAGACATCTGAAGAAGTTTCCAGAAAAGGTTATAGGCAAATGCAGTGAACTTTGTTTTACGGCATAGGTTGGTAATTTGTGTGCTATTGGAAAGGATAAAATTTGAAAGGTATTTTTACAAGAGTTTACTTTTAGGAAGAGTTGAGATGATGGAGAAATGTCAAACTAAGTCAAGGAGAAACATCAGACAAGAGTCATATGTAAGTCAGGGAGACAAAAGTGAGACAAGAATAAATTGTTACTGAGTTGCAATTACAATTAGGATAATAGGTTAAACACAGAAAGTTCCATCTCCATGTGAGGAAGAACTTTTCTGTGAGGGTGCCCGAGCCCTGACACAGGCTGTCCAGGGAGGCTGTGGAATCTCCTTCTCTGGAGGTCTTCCAAACCCACCTGGATGCCGCCCTGTGCCATATGCTACAGCGGGGTTGGACTAGAAGATCTCTAGAGGTCCCTTTCAACCTCAACSGTTCTGTGACTCTGTGATTCTCCTTTCATTTGCTTTTCTTTTCTTTTTTTGTTTTCTTTGTTACAGGCCTTTTCCCTGATGTGGGCGGAGGCTATTTCTTGCCAAGACTTGCAGGAAAGATCGGCTATTACCTTGCGCTAACAGGATTTCGGCTAAAAGGAAGAGATGTGCAAAAAGCAGGCATCGCTACCCATTTTGTAGAATCAGAAAAGGTAAGCAGCTGGCCAGTATGAGTGAGGGCTCAGCCTGCTACTACAATGACAAGCTGAATTGTTTCAGCACATTTGCAGTATGTTTTTTTACCTACATTTACCAGCAGTTGCCAGCTAGTCCTGTTGCCAGGCTCTTGTTTCCTTTTTCTTGGTTTTTTTTTTTTTTTTTTTTTTTTTTTTTTTTTTTTTTTTGGAATATCATAGGCTGGTTTCACCTACTTGGGCTCTAGTTTGTGGCTCTTCTTGAGAAGCAGAGTTCTTTCCTGTTCACTGCAGGCATAATTTAACCAGATGTTTTAATGCATTTGGTGCCTCTTTAAATCTGGCTGAAAGTTGTGGTTTTTCTTTCTTTTTTTTTTTAGTAGTTCTATACAGAAGTGCATTTGCTTTTAACTGTTTTTACTTTTTTTTAACAGCTACCTGCCTTAGAGGAAGACTTGATTGCACTTAAATCTCCTACAAAAGAAAATATTGCAGACTTACTGAACTCTTACCATGTGAAGGTAATCTGTTTAATTAATGTCCTAAAATTAAATCAAGGAAAATTGTTAATTAAATATGTGTAAATGCCAGTTCTTTTTTTCCTGCTACCACCCATTTGTTTTCTAGCTACAAAAGTAATGGATTTACAACCGATCCAGACTCTATAAAATACTTACTTGTAGCACTAGTGCCTACAATSTCAAAATAAAACATAAAGGTCCATTTTTTTTCTTTACTTTCTACCTTTTATTCATTTTGAGCTCGCCAARCCTCTTTCTTTTTCTGTGCCTGCTTTTTGATGAGCAGTGTCTACTCAGTTTATTTCTGCTTTAGAATTACTAAGTTCTGACATGAAGATAAATTAGAAAAATAAATTTTTATGAAAGCTTATTTACATAATGATACTGATTATTTTGACAAAATGGAAGGTTACAAAATAGGATGGATTATAGGTTGCACTATACTGCTTTACAAGAAGACATTTAGTGTAAAAAGAAGTTGCTTTAGAGCTGGAATAACAGGGAACCTGTTTCTCATCTTCAGTTGCTGCTAACAAARCTTCTGTTTATGTCCTAAATCCTTTTATGAGCAGATCTAAAACATTTGTCACACTTTCCACTTAAATCCATCAAATCTTTCAGTCTCTTTGGTTGTCCCTCAAGATCAGGAGTCAGTAAAAAATATTTATTAAAAAACTGCTYTGTGCTTAATGGCACAGTGTGTCTCATTTAACTGTAAGAGTAAATTCTTCATTACTATTAAATGAAACTACAAGGAGGAATTACTGTGAATCACAATTGGAATCTTGAAATGAATATATAAATCAAGGAAAGGAAAAAGGCACAAAAGTAGGAAATTCTAAACTAAAAGCACATAGTCTAGATCACTAAACCAAATTTCATAAAGGGAGTGAGAGAAAAGAAGTGGRAGAGATGCACATTCTTTCTATTCTACCCTTTCTTTTCTGCTATGTATAAAACTACTGTTGTAATTAAGAAAAAAAAAGAAGAAAAAATATTCTGAATTAGAAGTTATTACTATTCCTTTTACATTCTGGGATTTTCTGGGATTTATCTGTACCTTTTTTTTTTCAGTGTATGTGATGCAGAGATTGATAGGATGGTTGTGGTTTACATACACAGTGCCACTCAGTTGCACACTCGGTCCCGCTCAAAGGTAGTGCTACATCATGACAGGACACTTTTAACATTCAAAATAGGAAATGACAAATTCACTTCTATTTGCTGTAAAATAGAGTATCATTAAAAACTTAAGAACATCAAATGGTCTACCTGTGATATTTCTGCAAGTCACTGAAATTGTTCAGTGCTGGCTTTGCAGATGGTCAAAACTAACAAAATACATATTTTTTTTTAAATAGAACAAAATTGATCGAGAAAAGGAGTTTGTACTTGACGAACACATGGAGAAGATTAACAGGTATTCTGGAGTTTCCCTTCTACTTTATTCTTTTGGAGAGGAGAAATCCAGTAATAATAGCAGCACCTAAAAGATGAGTTGGTTTGAAGGTGGTCCTTTAAACATTTCCTTTCAGGGTGCTTTTCTTGAAACTTGTGAGATTTTACACTTATCATGGTATCAAATAATTCAGCAGTTTTATCATTCTTATAAGCAACTGTCTTGTTGCACATTAAAGCAAACATTTTCTGTAGAAATTAGATGGAGACTTTGTGAGACTAACTGTTCAGTTGGCTGGGGRATATTGTATAGCCCATTTGTGCTCGTTGGCCTGGGGCCATTTCTGCGATTAGTTTGGATCGTGTGTGTATCAGAAAGGAAGCGGGAGAGAGAGAGAGAGGAGYGGTGAGGAGCTGAACTCATGAAGAGCAGCAGTAACTAGGGAGGAGAGGTTTAGACATCAAACCGGTAAAGTGGAGCTAATGGTGCCACAAGACTTGGTGTGCTATAAAAACGTAGGTGAAAGAGATGGTGGTGATTAAAGATTTGGGAAGAACTTCTAAGTACAGTATCTTAAAATGTTACAAATTTCTAAGTATCTACTGTACTTGCAAGTACAGTGTCTTAAAATGTTACAAATTTCTAAATAGAAGATACCTCTTAGTTGAGTTGCTTAAATTTGAACAGCAGAGAGTATACAGCTGAGAACAGAGTAAATAATCCACTAACTCTCCATTTCTCATATCTGTAAGTTACCAGCATTTCTTACAAAGAGGAAGGTTGAAGCACTGAAGATTAATTGGATTATGGATTCAAGATTTCTTTCTTTTTGTTTTAGTCTTTTTTCAGGAGCTACCATGGAAGAAATAGTTGAAAAATTAAAACAAGATGGTTCTGCTTTTGCCATTAAGCAGCTAGAGGTAATATCTTCTTTGTTGTTTTTGTTACACACATGAAATCACAGAAAGCAAATATTATCATGCATTGCACAATATTGCAGTCAGCTGAATAGGAGAAAGATTCTTTTTATAGCTTCTTGTTTTATTGCTGGTTAGAAAAACGAACGAAAAAAACCAAACTCTGGGAAAATGTTGCTTTTTTCTCCCTATTAGAAATCTCCTTTGAATAAAAAGCAAGCAGTTTATCATGAGGAAGTGTTTTGTTTGTTTTAACTATTTTTAATGTGTCAAAGATTTTTGGCAGTATCCACTGCTCACAAAAATATGGAAATACTGCAGTAATTCAGCTGCACACTTCAGCTTCATTACTGAAGCAAAAAGCAACTTTTGGTCAAAGACATTTGTAGAAAACGATTTTATTTTCTCTCATTTTCTTTTGAAGTACTTGCACTCAGGTGGCTTATATTTATTTGGCTTGGGGCCATTCAAACATTCTTTACAATCATATGGAATGCAAGCATTTCTGCAACAGAAAGTCAATTTAAATTTAACTTTGAAGAATTTAGGGAAAAAAATCTTGGTCTTGTCCTAAATTCATTTCACTTTCTCCTTACGTTACAGATGGCAAGAAGATAGTTATATGAAGTTTTACAAGATGATTTGGTAGCATGGAAATGGCAGTCATATAG